ACCTGTGTTTTTATCACTTTGATATTAGCGAAACATATCTTCTGCTTTGATGAGAGAACATAAAACAACCGCGCTACTACTCAGAGTAAAAATATTATATTATAAATATCCACTATATTCAACCATATATCAATGGCGTTTTACGTCACGTGTCGTAAAACTCTGTGAAAAACGCGATACTCGCGGTGATATGCAGTAGTCGTGGAGTATGTTTTCATATCGCTGGGGCGAAACTCCATAGTGATCTACGAACATTTGTATTTGTTGTTCATTTGCATCGTTTGGTGGTTGTTCACACGCAGTACTTTCCCGTTCCCCCACGTAACCCAACACCAAGGGTTTGTAATCGATTAACATAGCGAGCGAGATATACATGCTCTGCTACACCCTAAAAGGCGGTTCATGAATTTGAGTTAATACTCCTCATGGAGAGTATTGATTTCATAATTTCAATTCCCATCTGGAGTATTCATAATACTCTGGCGTTTCAACCGTGATATGTGAAATCAAATTTCACTGGTCTTTACGTGTTTATGTGATATGGCGTGATTTCTCCAATGTGAACCGCCAAGTGCTCGCAATTCACTTCGTAGTGCGTTCTTCACAAATAGTGTTACGCCACTTCACGGGTGAAACTCCACTGTGTTATTGTTGAAGGTATTTCCACGAAAAGAACAGGTGTAAGCGATCTCGATATATGGAATTGTTGTACGATGAGTTGATGATGAAATAATGATGATGAAAGTGTTTTCCTAATACTACCGTAGTTTTCGTGTAAAGTGAGGTATATAATTATCAATAGTAATAGTTTTGATTTCTTTTCTGAAGTGCGTACAGGAAATCATCCAGGAACCTATAAGGTTACCGAGAAGGGGTAACTCATTTTGAATATTCCACGTATGGCAAGGAACACATTCTTCAATCAGTTAGAAATGTCATAATCACATTAGGAGCATCATTTTCCCAATTGTATTACTACTATTACTAACTTAGTAAAGTATTACTACTATTACTAACTTAGTAAAGTATTACTACTATTACTAACTTAGTAAAGTATTACTACTATTACTAACTTAGTAAAGTATTACTACTATTACTAACTTAGTAAAGTATTACTACTATTACTAACTTAGTAAAGTATTACTACTATTACTAACTTAGTAAAGTATTACTACTATTACTAAGTAAAGTATTACTACTATTACTAAGTAAAGTATTACTACTATTACTAACTTAGTAAAGTATTACTACTATTACTAACTTAGTAAAGTATTACTACTATTACTAAGTAAAGTATTACTACTATTACTAAGTAAAGTATTACTACTATTACTAACTTAGTAAAGTATTACTACTATTACTAACTTAGTAAAGTATTACTACTATTACTAACTTAGTAAAGTATTACTACTATTACTAACTTAGTAAAGTATTACTACTATTACTAACTTAGTAAAGTATTACTACTATTACTAACTTAGTAAAGTATTACTACTATTACTAACTTAGTAAAGTATTACTACTATTACTAACTTAGTAAAGTATTACTACTATTACTAACTTAGTAAAGTATTACTACTATTACTAACTTAGTAAAGTATTACTACTATTACTAACTTAGTAAAGTATTACTACTATTACTGTTATCAGTTTCTCATCCATTATGGGAATACCCGATTTTCCCTCTTCCTTTTCGTATTGGTGGCTAAACGTAACAACGCCATTAATTCTTCTTCTTCACCCGATACGTATACACGGTCCGAATTATATAACTCAAATCATAATACGTGTCACACTGTCTGTCGCCACAGCTATACTCGCTACACATCCTTTCCTCTCGATGCAACTTGTTATTATATCTGCCATTGCAACAGGTAAACCATGAGGCTCTTAAATCAGCTATTTTCAAAGTGTTAGTTGAAAAATATGCAACTACACAAAAAAATTTGTGCATTTTTAAGTCGTGTCAGTACAGTGTAGTTTAGATAACTAGTAGTAGTTGAGGAAAGCAAACGTATATTTCAACAACACTAGTTGGGAAAATTGAAATGGTGAACTACGTCATCATCAACTACACGTATTGTACACTTCTAAGTGAGTATTTCTATAATGTAGTTCTGGAAACTCCTCAGTTGAGGAAGAAAGCAAACGTAAATGTCATTAATGTTTGATACATTGGTGCAAACTTCATGCTGTATTATTATGAATCCTAGTTTAGTGTTGGAGGAATATATGTTCGTATTCCTCAGCTGAGCTCAGGAGTGACCCGGGTAGAAGTGTACAGAAATCAATGATAATTTTTGCTCATATTTTCCATATCGTCAACACCAACACATTTAGTTGATAATGTGCATATCTCCACTCCACTATTGTAGTTATTCGTCTCAGGAATTTTGACGGTATTTTTCCCTTTGATAGCAGTAGTAGCGTCATCTGCTTGCGCCTCTGGTGAGTTGATGGGAATTCAAACATGATGATGATAACAACACTTTCAGGTTTGTTAACATACGTGGTTTGGACATCAGTTTCTCAGAAATACGTGTATTTCCATTTTGGTGTTGGTTTAGTTGCATTTTTCACTACTGTTGCAACGTTGGCCATTCCTAAGCTGTTCAATAACTGGCAGATGGTAAACTGAGTTGTCAACAAACGTTATGATGATGTTGTTGTTGTTTTTGTTATAGTTGTATTCGCCTATAGTAGGAGGATATTTGATAGCAGCAGCGACGGGGCGGCGGCAAGGGTGGATTTGGACTGTCTCAGCAATGGTCAGTTGGGTTTTACATTTGAGGAAAAAGTGGCTACTGAGATTGGAAGAGGAAGAATGGGTTAATAACGTGAGTTACTCTACTATGACCCTCTCGTGCTGTTCTTCAGGGCTCCTGCAGGCTGAGTCTTGGTGTGTATTGCTAGATAAGATGTTGTCTATTACTGTGCATTATTATTACATCGTTCTCCGTACGAGTCTGACAAAGTTGACGCCGCTACGATCGACTTCGGTTTAGATTCAAAATGTGAATCCATGTTTGTCACTATTCTATTTGGCCACAGTCGAGATTGACAATGGCGGCTCAAGTGGGCGCCTGCGATGCGGTCGTCAGTCGAAAACAATTCTTCGTCAATTGAGTTCGCGACATGTACACCATTTAGGAGGGATTGCGTAGTGTCTTGTGTAAAGGCAATGAAGTTTCTCTCTGCGACTTGGGCTCTCAGGAAAACAGAAAAGTATTCGAAAAATATCCTTGCTAGGGATCGAACCCGCATAAAAAATAGATCGCCAGTGTGCTGATATAACACTGATTCGAATCTCGAGATCTTGTTAAGAGTTCAATCAGATTGAGGACAATGGGCGATACTGGATACAAGCAACTGGTGATACTGTTAAGATGAGGGGTGTTGACGAACAGACTCATTGCAAAGGTGAGATCTTATTCGTTGTGGAACTCCTCCAATGGGGCTCTTTAGGATCTACGAGAGGAGACCTACGGACCCCTCTATTGCACGAAAAAGGTGGTTGATGTATTAATGTTTTTAGTAGTTTGATTGTTGTAACGAACTGTTATTATTCATATATTACTAATGCTACATAAGATTCAATTGTGTTTAGTTTAGTTGAGTTCTTTTATCGTATTGTGTTATGCTAGTCGGAATCTGGCTTAGAATTCAAAGGCCGGGGTTGCCTCGGTGGTGACAGATGGTGTCACATAGGTATGTGGAGTTCAATAGATATGTATCTCGAGACTAGTTCAATGCTACTGTGGCAATGGGGACAGATTTTTGTGTCACCGATCTCGAAGGAGACAGCGAAGTGTGCGGTTCCGACAGGACTAGCTTTTGGGCATTCTCACTGAGACTTTATCGTAGAGATTTAACACTTTGAAATGAGTCCAGTAATAATCGTAACTGGTGCCAACAAGGGCATCGGATACGAAATATCTAAAAAGCTTATCGCTGATGGTGCCAAGGTCATCATGACTGCCAGGGATCAAGCCAGACTTGATGAGGCTGCTAGTAAGAAACTGCCGCCGCATCCACTCCTGTCAATTGTTAAAATGCTTAGATAAGTTGAAGCCGTTCGGCGCTGTTAAGCTCGATGTGACTGACGATGCATCAGTAGAAGAAGCGAAACGAGAGGTGGATCTGCAACTGGTTCGACTGCGACATATTCTGTGCTACAGATATCACGTTTGGCGCCTGCTATTGACGGTCTAGTTAACAACGCCGGCATCGCCTATAGCGGTGACATTTTCGGATACGAAGAGGTGAATTCACGATATCATCATAAGTAGGTTATTGATTGCATGATCAGGCAAAGTTGACTATGGCAATCAACTACTACGGCGCTAAGCGTGTGACCAAGGCTTTCTATCCCCTCCTCGGTGAACACGGTCGAATCGTTAACGTCTGCAGCTTCATGGGTAGGTTGTGTCAGGTGAGTGTATGACAATCGGTCGAGGTCTCGGATTGGTCTACCGTCGTTAGGTTTCTGACTCTCTACAGAAGAGGTTTGCAGATCCCAACGCCACCGAAGAGTCGATCGACGCCCTCGTGGAAGAGTTCATCACTGGGGTCAAGGAGGGCGATTACAAGGAGCGGGGCTTCAGTAACAGTATGTATGGTATGTCCAAGTTGGCTCTCATCGCTTATACTAAAATACTTTCCAAAAAGGCCATGGCCGATTCTCGTAAGATAGTCGTCACCGGCTGCTGTCCAGGCTGGTGCCAAACAGATATGAGCGGGTGAGTTGCGTCCCCTGTCAAGAAGTCTCCCGAAATCAATTGATGGCTCTGGTCGACATGTTATTTGTTTTCAGTCACAGCGGCCCCCGCACTGCCGAGACCGGTGCCCAAGTGATGGCTTGGCTAGCCGGTGAGGTCGAGTATGATCCCGAGATGAGTGGCAAGCTGTATCGTGATGAGAGGGAGTTCGAATGGCAGACCGGCAATCTCCTTTCTACGGGGAAGATGTATTGATTTTCTCGCTAGTTATTTGAGTTGCTAAATAATCTGGTTTCCTTTGAGGCAGTTATGATCATCGATCAGTGTTACTATTATCTGATGCATGAACCAACGCCAATCGCCGTACTATCATTGAATGAATAAGCCAGCGTGAAACCCGTCCTTGTCCACAACATGAGGTCAAAAGAAATGCAAGTGAAGAAGCTATCAATCATCCAAAATATACCGTGGATCGAATATAAGATGAGAGTCCAACCGTTGACTGAGCATTTCTAGAGTACTTGAGGCACTCTCGCTTCTTCATGTGGAACTAATAACCCGATTCTGATTCGGGATGTTCTGAGTTGTACCAATGCGTTGTGTTCAGTTGCCATGATTTGTTAGTACTTCCAGGGACAAATAGCATATCGCGCGTTACCGAATTTAAGTCATGTCAGATAGCATTACCAATACAAAGGATCGTTCCGACTAAGAGGAGATCGTTCTTACTCGAAAACTCGAACTCCATGACTTCCTGTATAGCCCATTGACTTGAACGCGGACAAGAGCAATACGGTTGAGGATTTGAGATATGATCTCGAGAAAACGGCCATACCTAACCTGTAGTTGTCTCTTATAACGCTGAGTGGGAAAAATTAATCGAATAAGATTGGATAGCCCCGATAAATCAGACTAAACGAACTCATGAGACGCACATGAGCGATCTACTACACTACTCGGGAATAGCGAGGCCACCTTTTGGACATCTGCCAGAAGATGCTTCGATATGAGTACCATTCACAGACAATGTGAACGCATCTAGCTTGTCGTTGAAGGGAATCCTTTCCCATTCGGTCGGATTGAAATGCATAAAGTCAGCGAAGTAAGTGAAGTTTGTATTAGTGGTATCCATGAATAGTGTGGTACTTTGTTCATCAACTGTCCAAGGAATGGTACCAGTCACGTTAACGCCCACCTTCCTGCCCTGTATGTAGAAGTAGAGTATCTGGAGCACGTCTGGAGCCCATGTGTGGAAAAAGAGAGCCGCAGAGAGCTTCAAGTTCGCGTCGGTGCAGTATTCCGACTTTGGTGGGAAGCACTGAACCATCGATGAAATGCCCAGAATGGCGATGATCTTCTTGAAGAAGGACATTGGGATAGAGTGAATGCGAGACACTTGAACACTTAACTGACTTGAATGGTTCTCTCTTCAGTTGCCAGTTGGTAGATAAAGGGATGACCCCCTCATATAGGGGCCCTCAAGCTGCTAGCGGAAGACGTCGTCAACTCGTATACGAGTAGCCTTTCAATGATAACGAATTCGTGCTCATATACACAGCTGCAATAACTGCACTAATATGTAACAGAGCAGTGCTCCGCAAGAATACCACATTACTTCGGTGAACTCTATCGTACGGTTCCGATGTAGAAATATATCACAACGGAGAGATGACCCAATACCAGAAGGTCAATCCAAGGACTGTTTGGCAATGAGAACAGTGACCGGGTTATAAGAGCGCACACGTACACTACGTGAACAGTGACTGTGTGACGAAATGAACTGTATATCATCTGATGGGCTTGTCTGTAGCTTGTTGCCCGTACTAGCTATATCGCTGTTATGTAAATCAAGTCCGTTCGGCCATTCGAGCCCCTTTATCAATATTTACTTGAACCAGAGTACTACCCCAAAGGTAGAGTGCCTTGTGCTGGCGTTATATCCAGCATTGATTATACGCATGCGTGAAACCACCGGCGAGCACAATTTCCGTGTCACGATATTCCTTGAACTTCTGGAGACGCCCAAGGAGTCAGCAGCATGTCCCAAGTCAAGAAATGATGCATACTGGTTCCGCTATCTATCTATCGCTATACCGGGCCCGTCCCTCCCTCTTGATGTTGGGCACCTGCTTTACCCAA